ATTGCCTGGTCCATAGTGATGCTCAATAAGTGGTCTGTGGAGTAACTAAGTGAATTAGCTATGTCATAGTTCTGTCGTTTTGTTTTAGGATTCGGAGTAGCAAGTTAGATTTCAGGTTTTTTCAGTTCGGTATTAATGCCCCCTTCTTCCTTCTGCCTGTCCCATATCAGCCTTTATTTGCCAGTCCAGCCCCTTCATTAGTCCCCTTCTGCCACCTTCCTTTTTGATACCAAGTCCCCACCATGAAACTATCTGTGGACTTGAACAGGTTTGGAGTCTGGGGGTCAAAGCACCATAGCTGAAGGTGGATCTCAAACCCTAAACTGGACTGGAGAAAAACTGACCACTGACCAGTTAGAAAGGGGTGTGTGTGTGTGTGATCCATGTCCGAGCACCTGTTGTGAGCAGAGCATGGACTGTGCAGGTGCTGGGGACATGATGGCGGAGAAGACAGTGAGCCCGGCTGGTGTGGCTCAGTGGTTGAGTGTCAACCCATGTACCAAGAGGTCACCGGTTTGATTCAGGTCAGGGCACATGCCCAGGTTGTGGGCCTGATCCCCAGTGAGGGTCATGCAGGAGGCAGCCAATCAATGTTTCTATCTCTTTCTCTCCCTTCCTCTCTCTCTAAAAATAAAGAAAAACTTTTTTTATTTCATTTTTTTTTTTTTTTTTAAGAAGAGAGAGAGCGAAACATCGATGTGAAAGGGACACATCGAGTGGCTGCCACCCACAGGACCCAACCAGGGCCAGGGACAAACTGCAGCCGAGGTACGTGCCCTTAGCAGGAACCGAACCCGGGCCTCTCTGAACCGCAGGCCGACGCTCTAACCGCTGAGCCAAACCGGTCAGGGCAAGAAAAAAAAAGTTTTAAATAAGACAGTGAGGCTGCGTGGGGTAGATGTCCTCATTGACTGGGTAGGGTGGGGTGAAGGAAGGCTTCCTTGAGCCAGGTTCTGAAGTCTGAGTGGGGCTTACTGAGTGGGGACTTGGCAGAATCCAACCGAGCTGCCGGAGGTTGCGGTTTGCCTCGAGTTGGGCCATGGACCTTAGAGCTTGCTTTGTGGGCAGGTTCCAGGAAGGGTTGGTGAAGCGGCTTGGGCTGTGAATTACCCTTTCTTCCCTCTGCTGAGTTCCTCCTCGCAGGTCAGGTGAAGCCTAGGGAGGTTGGAGGGGTGCGGTCAGTCAGAGAGGGGGTCTGCCTCCGAGTTTGGTTTCTCTGACAGCTCAGTGCTCTCTCTCCTCTCCTGTCTTCTCTGTTGGCTTCTTGGGAAGCTGTGAGTTTTGTTTTGTTTTTTTCTTTTGTCTGAGTTGGACTTGAACTAGAGCTAAAATGGTTTTGCCTGGTCTTTTCTCCAGGAACTGCTAGGTAAGGTGCTCTCCGAGGTCAGATGCTTTGTTTTCACCTTCCTAATGAACTGGGGGAAAGCCCTCGGCCTGCCGTGTCTGAGGGCGTGTGCTGGAGTCCACTTCTGTCCAGGTCTCCAGCTGCGGGCCCCGCCTCCACGCTGATGCAGACATCTAGGTGCTGACTAGGTCTCCAGGCTGTTCCTACTTTGCCCGACTCTGAAAGCTACCTGGAGGCCAGAGAGATGGATTCATCCAGTCCAGACAGGTGTCCCTCTGCATGCAGGTCAAGACAGGTGTCGCTGTGTATTTTGAAACCCTGCCTTGGGGAAAAGGAAGAAAAGGAACAGTGGTTTCTTGTTGCCCTTTACTTGTATCCTCCTGACTGCCCCCTTCCTGCCTCCTTAAGGGCACAGTGAGAATCTCCCAGCTGCAGCTTTTGTCAGACCGGTTTCTTGAACTACTGATAGTTTAATAACGTGAACCTTTCATCTGTCTCCTTAGCTCTGTCATTTTAAACACTTTGTCAAATGTTTGTTCTGACAAACATGTTTGTGGCTGGCTTCCAAGATAGCTATCGTGGGCACTTGACTCTTTTTTTGTACTGAATTCCTGGTACGTGACTAGGCCGTGACTAGGAGGAGGGTGTCTCTCTGTGCCTTCATCTTGAGTATGATCCCCTCACCCCACCCACAAGTCCTGTCCTCCCCCTTAGGCCGCTTTCATTGGATGAAACTGACCTCAAAGGACAGTTGTGAGTAAATGGTTCTAAAAAGCGTGTTTGGGATATTTGACGCCTGTCCTCACTGGTCTCGCCAGACACCCTGACTCCTGCCTTGCTGGGCTTTCTTCAGCATTGCTCAATTCCTGGGCCCAGCTCCCCTTGAAAAACGTGATGATGGCGCTTCAGGCCCTTCCTTGTGGGACATAATCAAGCCTTTTCCTTCTTGCGCTCAGGGCAGGGTGTGGGGTTAAGCTGCAGTAGGTTCCAAAAGAACTTAAGTTGTTGGTGTTCTTTTTTTAGGGGCACGTTGGTACAGTGACACGTGCCCAAGAGCTCACCACTCAGGTTGTTCAGGTCAGAGGGCAGAATTACACTCTGAAACACAACAAAGTGTGGCCACTAGGAGACACCGGTTCCCACTGCTTGATTCCCTGGGGCCTTAGGAGCCAGTGACACAAATGGGGAATCCGAACACCCACGGATTCCAAAGTCTTTTCAGGAGAACTTTGTGCAGAATTGTGTGGCTTCTTACCTATGGAGGCTCATTTACACGTTTGGCCTACAAGGTTCTCTTAAGGCAGGACCATCTTCTCATGCTTGGAGTTGGGCCCATGTCCTGGTCGGCCCTTTACTTGGAGTGACTGTGGAGCTGGCTTCCACTGCGGAGAAGCTGGAGTGGGACTTGTTCCTGGGCACACTGGGTTTGGGATTAAGAGGCCATAGCTCCATGAGACTCAGGGTCCACTCTGGGCACGTAACACCCGTGCGTGTGTGTGCGTGAGTGTGTTTACACACACACATGTTGTGAGGGTAAAAAGCAAAGATGAAGACTAGTCAAGTTGGCAAATTGAAACCAACTGTTTTTTATGTTGTTTGTGTAGAATGATTAATTGGGGGAGGATGAGGAGCCAAGCCAAAAAAGGAAAGCCTAAACCGCGTCAGCTAAGCCAGGCCAGCACCTTGTGAAATGCGGGGATTCCCACGCCTCCCATTGCCAGGACAGCAAACCTGCAAGGAGCCACAGGGAGACTCAGGGCCTGCAGCTACCCTGGAGCTTCTGGATCAGCGGGGCCCCTTCGAAGAGACATGTCTGTTTGGTGACTAACTTCCGGTGCCTCTGGGGTAGCCGTGCAGACTTCCAACAGCGATGCCGACGTGGATGTCTTGCCTCCTTCCTCGGCTCTGCTGTGGGGACCAGGAGAGGGGCGGCACCGGGCAGGCTTTGGGAAAGAGGCGCTAGGCAGCCTCTATAGTTACTGGGTCAGTACTCCCTGTGACCAGCCAACTGGCCCAGGGTGGGAGGTAGGATGTGCCCAACTGATGTTTTCCCACAATTAGCACCCAGAAAGCTGTCTCCTAGAGGGAAATTTAAGGGCTTTTACGGGCCCACATTTTTTTACTGTCTTGCTTGTTCACATTTGTTCCTCCAGAGCCCTGGCTACAAAGGGATTGTTGGGCCCTAGAGACGGGCACTGCCCGTGAACCGGCTGGTGGATGACCGCCCGGATTTGGTGTGCAGTCCCCCAGGCACACCTCTCAGCCCGCTGTGCTGCAGTGCAGGCTGCCGCCTCTGCCCACCTGACTGGCAGGGGGCAGGGGGTAGAGGAGCAAGGTTGCTAAGCAGCCTGGCCTGGACATTGTGCCGGTGCAGTGAAGGTCCAGTGAATAGCCGCAGTGTTCGGAAGAATGAGCGGGTTGGTGACTGAGGTCTTCTGCTCTGGTCTCGCGTGGAAGCACCACGTGGGAGGGGTTAGGTGTCCTGCCCAAGCTTCCCTTCCTGACACCTTGCCAGGGTATCGTTTCCTCATGAGCGGAACGGAGCTCTGCAGCCGCCTCGTGTGCCCGTTTGTCCTGAGTTGTTACCACCTTGTCTCCTCCTTCACCCACCAGAGCGAATGGAGATGAGATCTGCAGCTTCCTGGGCGCCCAGCTTTTGACACTTTGATCACCAGCCTGTGGTGGCCCTCGAGGCTTCTGATCTGTGTTCAGGGGTCTAAGTGTCCCCAGAAATGGGGAGACGCGATGTCCTTGGCAATGTACAAATTTGGGACAACAGAAGCGAGGGAAGGCCTCCCTCCCCTGTGCTGGGCTTGTGGCAAGGCTGGGACCCATCCTTCTCCAGGTAGATCTGGTGTAGGCGAAGCGTTGACTCAGCAGTGGAATGCAGAGGAAGTCCAGGAACGCGCCCGCTAGGAAGCTTTGCTCCTGGGTCTCTGTGCACTGCTAGAACAGAGGACGGAGGCAGGTGGACGGAGGGGTTGAGGGGCAGGGGTTTGCATTACGGATCAGTGAGCGCTTTTCTTTGGAGAGAATATAAAGCCAACAGTGAGCCCAGGAGAGCCAGAGAGAAGTGGCCTCCGTGCCCAGGCCTTTCTGGGGCCTGGTTCAGTCCTTCTTATATCAAAGGCCGGCTCCAGACCTGCTCCAGGGTTCCATGGGCTATCCCCTGTGGTAAAAGCTCCCTTTTTTGCTTAAACGAAACGTTAGAAAAAAATCTCTTCTGAGTAGGTAGTCTTTGGTGTTTGGCATTGGTGTTTCATGTTATAAAGTAGCCCCTCTTGCTTGCTCAGTACCAGGTTGGGGCAGGGGTGTTCTGGAGTGACTGGCCGGGGCAGCATCTGGAGTGACTGGCAGGGTCCGGGTGTGGAGATGACAGAAGGCTGGCATTTGTTCTCCTCGGCCTTGGTGGGTATTGGTCCCTGCCGGAGGCCATGGAAGAGAGTGAAGCGAGCAACGAGCATCCCAGCTGCTCTGATGAAGGAAGAAGGGGGGGTCCAGGGGTCCCCCAAGGCCCCAAAGCATCGGCTCACTCCCAGGATGCCTTGCAGTGCCTTCACCTTTTTCCTTCCTTGAGTATCCTGAGTGGTGTCTGCGGAAAGGAACTGAGTTTGGAGCACCAGGCTTACGTCATATTTCTGTTTGTCTTTTGCAGGATAACCCAGAAGTAGAAAAGCGGGATCCACAGGAATTAGTTGGTAAGCACCCAGGGGGAGCCTCAGGGCACATTTCTGAGCCTCCTGGAGCTCACTGGTTTCCAGCCCTGTGGGGCCTGCATGCATGGGGCTCCTCTCTGCTTCTGCCGGGCAGCTGCTCTGCTATGACCCTTGTCTCCTGCTCTCTCTCAGGGCCTTTGGCATTTTCTACGATGTCTGGGTGAGACACCCGGGAACAATTCTTCTTTGAAAATCATAGTCATGGTGTGTTTCATTGGGCTCTGGTCAATTGCCAGTGTTGTCAGGAAGGACTCAGGGCCCCATTTAGCCGGAGCTTGTTCCTCTGTGCCCTGGGCTCGTCCTCTGTCCCTGCACCCCTTCTCCCCCTCTGCTGGCATAGTCATGTGCTCAAGGAGCAGGCATGTGGCCTGTGCTGGCACTCTGCTCTGTCTCGGGAGAACACGCCTCGCGGTCCTGGAATCTGGGACCCTTGGTGACTTGAGGGCAGGGCAGTTACATTTCTGGAAAATGGTATCCCGGTCTGTGTTAAACCCCAGCCTCTTAATCCTTTTACAAGTCCCTCAACTTCTTCAGTGGCCCTGGACTTTGTAGCTGCTCTCCCAAACCCCGGCCAAACCTCACAGAGGGGTTGATCCTGCCTCGCTCTGGCAACTGTGACAGTCTTTCTGCCTGCTTAATCTGCCAAAGCAGGGTTCCTGCTCCCCAGCTGCTAGGTCCCACTCCCTGGGCAGCGTGCAGAGCCCACCCCTGGGGAGCCCACAACTTGGCCTGGAAATGCTGCTTCCTGCGGCCCCTCCACCTGTCCTTTTCCGGGACAGGATCCCTCCACTGGGGTGTAAGGTGGAGACAGACATTCTGCCTTCCCTAACTGGAAGAACTAAAAATTACTCCTGTTTGTCTCCTGAGGAAGGATTGGGTAGGAAGGTGACCACTCTGAGCAGCCCAGACCCTCAGCAGGATTCTGCCTTTATTCCTGAATTTTCTGACGAGTGGAGTGGGAGTCTTTCAAGTTCTATAAAAGTCGGGGTTTTCCTAAAACCTTAGGGTTTGCTCTTTTTTTTTTTATCCTCACCCAAGGACATTTTTGCACTTATCTTTAGATAGGGCGGGAAGGAGAGAGGGGGGAAGAGAGAGAGAAACATCGACGTTAGGGTTTGCTCCCTAGAAAACGGTGCTGTAGGGGTGCTGCAGTCGGCTTTGTGGGCAGAGGAAACGGCGCACGCCCTGCCAGGACACGGGTGGCCTCCCCAAGTGGGACCCCTCTCCCCTCCCACGCCCCCTCATCTTTGCTGCTTACTTCCAGAAAACGGGGGGTCGGAGTGGGGGGGTCGGGTCAGAGAGCAGCCCACCAGGAGCCACACTGTCCTCCAGTTCTGCGTACAGTGCTCATGCCCGGCAGGAGCAGAAAGTGTGGGCACCAGCCAGACCCACCCCGACTTCTGCCGTGACCAGCTTTCACTTTTTCTCTCCTTGCCACTCTTTTTAATCCTCACCTAAGGGTTTTTTTTTCATTGATTTCTCAGAGAAAGAGAGAGAGAAACATCAGTTGATTGCCTCCCACACGACCCCGACGAGGGCCAGGGATCGAACCGCAACCGCAGTACATGCCCTTGACCGGAGTCGAACCTGAGACTGGTCCGCGGGCTGACTCTCTAACCGCTGAGCCAAACCAGCCAGGTCATCTCCTTGACACTTTTTGAAAACAGCTTTATTGAGGTGTCACTTAACACAGAGTAAGATTCGCCGATTTAGAGTGTGCCGTTGGATGAGTTTTACCAGGTAATGTGGTCATGTTAGCCCCCCACAGCTGCAGTGTAGAACATCTCTGTGACTCCACAATGTCCCTCTGCGTCCTCCCCTTGCAGCCAGTCTCCTCCCTCAGCCTCAGACAGGTAGTGATCTTTCTTCACTGTGGTCTTGCTGTTTTTAGAATGTCATATAAATCAGGATTTCTCAACTTTGGCCCTATTGACATTTGGCGCTGGATCATTCTCTGTCGTGGGGGCCTGGCCTGTGCATTGGACAATGTTTTAGCAGCATCATTGGTCTCTACAGACTAGCTGTCTCTAGTTTTGATTAACCGTTACCCTTTTTGGCTGAGGAGGTAGTAGCTGAACACGGTGGCCTGTGCTCCTGGTGCCACGGTTGTTGGCCCCTCTGCCTGAACTTCGCTCCTTTTGTCCAGTCTCTGGATGAAGGACTCTTGGGCTGCTCCCGTCATGTGAGAAACATTTCATCCATGCTGACAGCCCCAGGCTCAGCGGAGCTAATGGCAGCAGAGGAGCTGGCCTCCAGGTCTCCCCAGCACATAGCTGCTTGAGCCCACTCTGCGTCCTCTCCAGGTCCCTGCCCATGCCCCACGGGTGTGCCTGGCAGTGGCACCTGTGTGGTCATCTGTTTGGATTCTTTGTGTCTCTTGTGAACTACAGACACTCCACTGCCCCCTGCCCACAGCCTCACAGTGCCCGCCAGGCATCCCTTCACGCCCATCATTACCTAAGCCCAGCTAGCTAGCTGCTCCTGCTGGTTGATACCTGGCAGCTATGGGTACCGCCCGTTTCCTGACTTGGGCATGCACAGGAGTGAATCACAGCGACCGCAGGCTTCCCAGGTGCTGAGAATGGCTGCCCACCTAGACTGATCCCACAGACCCAGAGCACCACAGACATGGCTGCCCAGACAGTCCTATCCATGGGTCTAAAGTCTTCTACTTCGGGTCACCCTGGGACTTAGGAATGAATCACTAAGTTGCTCCTGAATCCATGGGATACATTTTTATCTCATTTCCTGAATATATCCATTCATTTGCCAGCTACTTCCTAGAAATTCTCTTGTTCTAAGCCAGGAGCTCAGGAGGAACTCTCCCTACCCCTGTCTACTGTGTACCATTTGAGCCCCTGTGTGGTTGGGTTGCTATGGCAACACTGTCACACCCTGTTTTTCCAAAAGGCTTTCCTGGCAAATGCCAAAGGGCATTCTTTGTCTGTGTGTCACGTGCACACATAAACTCTCCACCCCAGGGAAGAGCTTAACCCCCCTGCTATGTGCCCAAAGCCTGCCCAGGCCCTGCTCGCTTTTGTTGCTGATGCTCATGAAATCAGAGGACCAGCTCCCCCCAGCTAATTCCCCCTCCGCTCGCCTCTGCAGCCTGCTTGTATCTTGGGCTTTGAACTACTGTTTCTCCCAGGGCTAGAAGGAAGGAGGAAGTTGGAATGAGATTTGAACTTCAGCCAGATCTGGGTGTCACCCTTGCCTCGAGTCAGGAGACAGGAGGGTGCAGGGCAAAGAGAAGCACGTGGTTCCCTGGTGGAAACTGCTCCAAGGCTGCTGTCTCAGGTCCACAGCAGGGTGTGTCATCCAGGCTCCGTCCTCTTGTCCTTACCCAAGACGGCAGCTCTAGTGCTGAGTTCTTGCGCGCACCCGGTGCGGGTCTGACACACTGAGAGTTGACACAGGGAGCCGTACCCTCAACCATGCTCAGCACTGAGGTCTTTACAGTAACCGTGGAAATCAAAGCCCCTTATCTGCTAAGAAACATGAAGCCAGCTTTGGGAAAGGAGAAGGGGAAGGCTGTGCCAGGCCATCCGCATGCAGTCTGGCAGCACCCGGGCCGGGGCCTGGCACACAGGGGGTACTCGGTAAGTGCTTGCTGGGTGGTGGTGGTGCAGTGTGTTCATTCTTTCTCTTCATCCTGCCCCACCCTGTTCCGCCTGCTCTTTGCTCATTGTATGGTCCTTTTCATGAAAGAATGTTTTAAAGAGCACACACAGAATCTTACAACAACAGTGCATTGTCTGAGTGACCCAGAGCCCGACTCTGCGGTCGCCGGGGCAGCCAGAGGCACAGGCGAAGGAGTAGGTGGAGAGAAAGACACTGGGGTGGGCAGTGGCAGGTCTCCAAGGGAATTGTCCCTTGGGAGTTGTGGTTCTCCACATCAGCATCAGGCCTTTGGTTCCCAAGAATAAGGTGGACCAAAAGAGGGTAGATTGGTTTATTTATTTTTAAAAGACCCTAAGCTAATCTCCAACAGGTAGTTTTTAAAATGGCATTTATGCACAAGGCAGCTTTGAGTGCTTGGAGCCCCCAAGCCCAGCGAGCCCTGCGCCCTGTGTCCTCTATCTCAGGATGAGAAGGGTCGAGCCGAGCAGTGCGGAGTTGCCAGCATCCTGGGAAGCTGGTTCAGGGACGGGCCAGTGGAGGGCTGGAGTTGGCTGGAGCCGGCTCCCACTGTCAGCCAGTGTGCAGTCTCTCCCTGGCCATGGCAGAGTTGACACCACCACAGCTGGCAGATGCTGCAGACTGTGACTGCCACCACCACCACCCCCATTGACCAGCACCCGCGACATACTCGTTTTTCGAAAGTTACTTCTGTGATGTGGTGCATGCATTCATTTTTTACACTTGTGCCTCTATCTGCTGGCTCCTTCTGGACATGTGATCTCAACTCAGATGACACCACCCTCTGAGCGGCTACTCTGAACACTTGCTTCATAGCATTGATCCTTCCTTGAAAGCATTTTAAGTGCTTTTTTTTTTCATTGTCCATATGTAACCCCCACCTCCCTACAGAATTTTTATCTCTGTTCTCTCAACAGCCTCCTTTTCCGAAAGAGTCCGGAACATGTCACCTGATGAAATCAAGATCCCTCCCGAACCCCCTGGCAGATGTTCCAATCACCTACAAGTAAGCAAGAGCTTGACTGCGGAGGCCGGGCAGATGCGGGGCCGGGGCAGGTGTCTGGTTTGGTCTGGCCTGAAGCGGCTTCTGGGAAAGCAGCAGCCCAGGGGAAGGAGCCTGCAGTCCTAGTCACCTCCCTTAGCCCACTCTCAGGAGTCGGCTGGGGTGCCCTCGCTTGCCCTCCGTCAGGTCCTCAGCCTAGGCAGAGAAGATAGCATAGCTTTCCTATGCAACCCCGCTGAGCCAATGGGAATATCTCAGAAGGAGCTTTGCTAAGAAACTGAGGGACCATCACAATGTAAAATAAATCATAGAAATATAAAACACGAGCATTTATTATGCATAAAATTCCTATTCTCATATTCTAAAAATGGCAGCTCACTAGCTTCTTGTCTGTGCAACTTCATACAGACCTGAGCTGAGTTTCTGAACCCCGAGGACTTGGAGCAATGAATGCAGTTACTCCTTGGGAGCAGGCCCTTGGGAGGGGACTGATGGAGATTGAGCCTGTTTAGCCTCTGAAGTAGTTTGTCCTCGCTCTGCAGGTCCCCTGTGAGTGGGACCTTGTGACGAACAATAAGCAGACATCCACAGCTGCCCAGTAGTGGCGGCTGGTCTACCTGCTCTACCTTTGATCCCATAGATTCTACTGGAGCCTCTGGCTGCACCACAGGCCCATGGCACCACCCTACCGATGGGTGACTAATGGGACCTGGGGCTGTGGAATGCAGCGGGCTGGGGCTGGGGCTTCAGGAGCAGTGAAGATTCTCTTTCTGTTCCGGAAGTCTCCTCCCTCTGCTGAGTCGTCAACCCCTGCCTGTTACCCGCCAGCATAGTGTGACCCCCACACCAGGCAACAAGTCACAGCCTGTAAGGACAATCTAGTAGTCTGCCAGGCAGAGACAGCCAGCAGCTCAGCCTCTAAGTTTAGAATGTTTATCGTCCTTAGATCCCCAATGGTAGAAAACATGACACAGCACACCTTTCGGTTCACCTGAGCTGGGGGCACCATCTGATGGCCCAGGAGACAGAAGTCATCTGTAAGAGATAGGTCCGCCTCCACACGCCCAGCCTTCTGTCAGGCCTCCTCCGCTGCCTTTGCCTCGTGTTGAGGTTTGTCCCTCTTGGCTTCTGTCTTGCCTGGTAAATGTATTACAGACCTCTGTCTGACTCGGTGCTTCCTCTGGCCAGCCTCAGCAGAAAGATTGGCCTTTTTTATTTTTTTTTATTTTTTTTTATTTTTTTTTTATCCTCACCTGAGGACATTTTTCCATTTTTTATTCAGACAGAGCAGGAGGGAGAGAGAGGAAGAGAGAGAGAGAAACACCAACGTGAAAGGGACACATCGAGTGGCTGCCACCCGCACGACTCAACCAGGGCTGGGGACAAACTGCAACCAAGGTACGCGCCCTTAGCGGGAACCGAACCCAGGTCTCTCTGGACCGCAGGCTGACGCTCTAACCGCTGAGCCAAACCGGCCAGGGCGAAAGATTGGCCTTCTAACAAAGGGCGTCGATCACCTCTCCTGATGTTCCCAAAGGGCATCCATTGGACTTCCACCCAGCCCTCCTCCTCTCACAAGTGAGAGCTGAGCTCTTGACCCCTGACGGTGTCTCTCGATGAAGTGGTGGGGACCGGCCATCTGTGAGCCTCCCCACCAGGGACATTTAGAAAGTTTGAGACCAAGTCCAAAAAAACTCTACTCCTGCCTTCCTCCAAAAGGACACAGCCTTCCGGGTCTCCCGCTGAGGATTTAACCCTGTGTTAAAATGTAAAACCACCTTCAGCCCCTGCCTGTCACCGCTGGTGCCTGAAACTCCTCTCCAGATGACTCAGGAGCTGACGCACCAGGTGGGGATCTGTCCATGGTCTTCTCCATGGCTTCTCTGCCTTGGCCTTTCTACTACTCACTGTACTAGCCATCCAGACGGAGTCAGGAGGAAGCAAAATGTAAACAGCTGGTCTCGGTTTATCTTGCTCGTGCTCAGCACTGGTCAAGGCTGGGTGGAGAAAGACAATCTGGCTGGAGCAGGGCTTCACTTGGCCCTGTGGATCGCCCGTGTCCATGTGTCCATACAAACACACGTGACCGCAGACTGGGGTTGTGGCAGGTGCAGTGGGGTCATAAGGGCCCTTCTGTTTCTCTCCGCAGGACAAAATCCAGAAGCTTTATGAACGGAAGATGAAAGAGGGGATGGATATGAACTACATTATCCAAAGGAAGAAAGAGTTTCGGAACCCCAGGTGTGTTTCCCATGAGCCGACAAGGTCAGCTGAGTCATTGACGTTGGACTGGGGACTGGGATGCTCCCATGGAAGTGGCAGAGAGAGACCCGGCTAAGATCCCAACTGAGCCCAAAGGCCATCACCTAGACTGCCGTCCCAGCCGGGGTTCATCAGTCAAATCCAGGCTGAGCATAAACCAGTGTCTGGAGTGGGAGCCAGAGGCCTTGCCTGGAATGGGGAGCCTGGCTGGGTTCTCATCCCTGCTCTGTTCCTAAAGCATATGACCTCACAACTGAGGGGTTTCCTCGTCGTACAGTGAGGGGGTGGACTAGACCATTGTGGTTCTTCTCTCAGCTCTAAGAAGTCCCTGATTCTGTGTGTAGGGGACAGGCATTAGGAAGAGAGCTGTGTCTGGGTCTCACTCTGTCCAGTGTCTGAGCAAGGGACACGCCTGGGAGAGTCTGGTGTGATGACAGCAGGGACCTGTCCTGGCCTTTATGTGGGCCTGAATGTGGTAGCCCCAACCCAGCCACAGCTGAAAGTCTGATGTCCAGGTAAGATCCAGAAAAAGCAGCCGTCATCTCGACACCATGCTCGTCCTGGCCCCTGGGCAGCAGGCCATCCCCAGAGAGTGCAGGGCAAGACCGATTGTTCATGTCAGGCCATTGGATGTTCCCTCCCATCAGGGGACTTGCTTAGGACAGGCCAGCTGAGTTTAAAATTTTCTTCTGGCCCTGGCTGGTTTGGCTCAGCAGTTAGAGCGTCGGCCTGCGGTCCAGAGAGACCCGGGTTCGGTTCCCGCTAAGGGCGCATACCTCAGTTGCAGTTTGTCCCCGGCCCTGGTTGGTCGTGCAGGTGGCAGCCACTCGATGTGACCCTTTCACGTCAGTGTTTCTCTCTCCCTCCCACTCTATCTGAACAAAAAATGGAAAATGTCCTTGGGTGAGGATTTAAAAAAAAAAAGATTTCTTCTGAGCCCGGGATCTCTGGATGGTTTTGATCTCTTAAAATCTAGTCCCACGCAGGGCCTAGCTTGCTCAGGGTCTCCTCGTGGTTTTCTTCTTTCAGCATCTATGAAAAGCTGATCCAGTTCTGTGCAATTGATGAGCTCGGCACCAACTACCCAAAGGTACGCCCCGCACAGGGAGGCCGAGGGCCGAGGGCCGAGTGCCCAGGGCCCGTGCTCGCAGCACCGGGTTCAGCCTGGAGCCGCCGAAAGGTCATGTGGCAGCGCCGCTGGCTGACGAGTGCTGTCCGTCTCCGTTGTCTGAGCCCGGTGCTGTGAAGTAGTCCGGTAATGAGACTGCAGCCGCACACCTGCCCCCGGGTCCCCGGTGCTGTGAAGTAGTCCGGTAATGAGACTGCGGCCGCACACCTGCCCCCGGGTCCCCGGTGCTGGGGCCTGAGCGAGGGTGTGCCGTGCCCTATAGAGCACCCTGTGGACAAGCACGTCACTGCTCCATCTTCCTAAGAACGAGGGCCACCCCCTTGGCGAGGCGGGGGTAGCAGCTGAGCACCTGTGCCTGTGAAGGCAGGGGCTCCAGGCCAAGAAGATTCATGGAGAGACTTGGGAAGGGGGACTTGGGACTTGGGTTTTTAAGTTGTTTGTCATCCGATAGCCCTTACTGACTGAAGCTGTGACCTTTTCTTTTTTCAGGATATGTTTGACCCCCATGGCTGGTCTGAGGACTCCTATTATGAGGCATTAGGTAGGTAGTCACCTGTCTGTCCATTTGTCCACCTACCCACCCATCTATCCGTCTGTCCATGCAGTCATTCGGTTACCAGGCAACATATATTTCAGGGTCTCCTCTCTGTTAGACCTTGTCCAAGGAGCTGGTATACAGCCTTGAACAAGGCAGACCCCATCCCTGACTTATGAGGCTTATGATACAGCAAAGAAGACAGAGGATCGAAGGAAGAGTCCCAGCGATGAGTGTGATGGTGGGGGGGGGGGGTGCGAGCAGGGCCGCCTGACCAGGCCAGGGCACTGGGAACTGAGGAGCATGTTCGGGCAGAGTCTTGAAGATGCAGAGAGGCCAGCCCAGCAGATGTAGGTGCTGTCCCAGCAGGGGGACAGTGTTTTCTGAAGGGGCCCATTAGGGGAAGTGGGGAGGAATTTCAAAGGGCCCAAGTCCTCAGGTGGCCCATCTCAAACCAGAAGCCCTTGGACCAGATCCAGCCTGTAGCTGTGTTTTGTTTGGCCCACACAAGTCTTGTCTTTTTTTTTTTATCCTCACCCGAGGATATTTTTCCATTTATCATCATCAGATAGAGTGGGAGAGAGGAAGAGAGAGAAACATTGATGTGCGAGAGACACATCGACTGGTTGCCTCCCGCAGGACCCAACTAGAGCCGGGGACAAACCACAATCAAGATACGTGCCCTTGACCAGAATCAAACATGAGACTCATTGGTCCACGGGCCGACATTCTAACCACCAAGCCAAACCTGCCTGGGCACAAGTCTTATCTTTAATTTGAATTAGTTGTCAATATTCTACCTAAAAATTATAATCCCAGCTTGTCGTGGGCACTGGGAAGATAGTCCATACTGGGCCTCCTGTCTTCCCACATGCAGCAGTCAGCTGGAGCTCAGGGCAGCTGATCTCTCTTCCCAGCACACACACACGCAGATGCGGGCACACACACACGGCACACACGCATGTACACATGCACAGGAGATACACAGCCGCCAGTCCCTGGGCCTTTGAGTTGGAGGCCCTGTGGGCCTGGAGGCTACCTTAGTGTATCGAACAAGACACGGGATGCAGCAAGCACTGGACTAGGGTTCATCGGCCTAAAGTGTGGAAGATATTCCAGGGCTATTTTTGTAACAGTGTCTCTTGTCTTTGTAGCCAAAGCCCAGAAGATTGAAATGGACAAATTGGAAAAGGCCAAAAAGGAGCGAACCAAGGTAAGTGATGGACAGGTGTCTGGTTGGAAAGGGCAGGTGTTTGGAGTTCATGGGTCCTGCTGGCCAAGCCCAGAGGGCTTCCAGACTGCTCCCCCAGCCTTGGTGTGCGTTGTGGACAGAACAGGCCTTGCTGCATTTCCGGGCAATTCCAGCTGGAGGTCGCTTTCCACTTGATTCTGTTTGGTTCCTGGGGGTCTTCTAGTTTGCTGCATTATACTCTCCCATCCCCCTCACAGCTGCAGAGCCCTGGTGCTTTCTCTCTGGGGCCATCAGTGTCCTCCCTGGCCTGAATGGAGGCAAGTGTTTCCTTCTGAGAGCACCCTGGTCTTGGTGGCCTGCCTCAGTGCTTCCCTGTGGGTCCCTGGTCTGATGGCCGGGTGACCCCTCGCATCAGGACCCTTAGCACCACTTCTTCCCAAGCAGCAGGGGTCCTTCGCGAACAGCAGTTTGGCTCTGAGACCAAATGTCCTGTAGGCGCTTTATGACCAGAGTCTCTCAGAGAGAAACTCGGGACAGATGCCCTCCCACCTTGGGTTTGGTGCGACTCCCCTGCCACAGTTGTGGCCTCCAGGACACCCCTCACCCCTCAGGCAGAGGAGCTGTGCTGGGGGGATGTCAGTTTTCTCCTTCTTAGCCCTTGATTGGATTTTCCTTCTCTTTCCATCCCCATTCCAAGCCCCAGGCCTATTGCAGGGATGTGTCCACAGCACCTGGGCACTGGAGCTGTCCTGCCCCTGTGCTGGCGGGCACCCTTTCTCGGGGGCGTGAGGTGGGGCGGCGGGCAGGGGTTCCCCTGGTGGACAGAAACCTGGTGATGCCGGGAGGGTCCAGTGTCTGGGGATGTTTTCTTCAGAGAAGTAAAAATCCCCTCGGCGCCTCTCCAACGCCTCTCCCTCCCCCAGACAGTCACAGCGGAGCTGGTTCTCAATGCCTCCTTTGTGTGGTGCCAAACTCCTGTCCCCCAGGAGCAGGTTGGCAAGGGATGGGACCAACAGCTTTGCCCAGGCCTTACGTCCTCCCTTCTTCCCCTCCAGATTGAGTTTGTGACAGGCACCAAGAAAGGCACCACGACCAGCGCCACAGCCACCACCACCACCACGGCCAGCACAGCTGTTGCAGGTAGAAGGGGCTGGTCTCTTTCCAGCTGCACCACAAGTGGAGCGAGGGTTTCCCTGCCTTGTTCGTGGGAGTAGACCCTATGGGGATTTGGGGATCCCCACGGGGACCTGGATCTCGGCTCCCCGTTGCCATGGTTTTTCTGAGCTGAGTTTCTGAGCCTGCTCTGGAGGCCAGGGTGAGCTCCTGGTTCCCTGGCTGCCCTTGGCTTTCCGTGGCCGGGCCCTTCAGTTTCTGTCCCCTAAGCTCTGGCCTCTGGCCTCTGGAAAGAGGGTGTTGCTGTTGCCGTGTCTTGGCCCTGACTTCTCTCTTGCTTTATTCTCAGATGCCCAAAAGAGAAAGAGCAAGTGGGACTCAGCCATCCCAGTGACAACCATAGCCCAGCCCACCATCCTCACCACCACAGCAACCCTGCCAGCTGTCGTCACAGTGACCACCAGCGCCAGTGGCTCCAAGACCACCGTGATCTCTGCCGTGGGCACCATTGTGAAGAAGGCCAAGCAGTGACCTGAGGGACCAGCGTGGGGCGGCTCGGACATTCTCCTTCCCACTGAGGGGAGGAGCCGCTCCAGACTTGATAAGCCTGCAGCTCAGTGATTGATGGCCTCGGGGAGAGTCCACTTTGTGTATTTCAGGACTGGGACCTGCTTCCCAAAGGCTGTCCTGAGAGGATCCTCTGTGTGGCATTGCTGCCAAAGGAAGGACATTCACAGAGGAGGGGCGCTGTGAAGTGTCCTTGCACCTCGGGGTCAGTGCCCTATTAAAGTGCTGATTCTTACGCCGTGGCATCTCGGTTGCACTGGGCTCTTTTGCAGTCTGCTTTCAGCAAATGCAGAAGCTCAGGTGCCCTCTCCATCTTCAATCGGGATTATCACTCAGGGTGGAGGAGAGGGTGGCCCAGGAAGGGCCGTGGCCATTCCCAGCCTGTGCCGCTTGACATGGGTAGGTGGGGGTCCAAACAGTGGGTGAGGCCTCGTGTCCCTGCTCTCTGCTGTCCTGATCCCCAAACCCAGCCAGTTCTCATACAGGAGCTCAGGCCGCTGCTCCCTTGGGGGCACTTGAGCTTCCCCGACCACTTGGGCACACCCAAACTTTGAAGTCAAGCCAGAAGTTACCAGAAGGGCTGGGGTTGATCCCCACCCACACAGGGAGGGGAGAAGCGTCGGCTCCTGGCCAAGGCTGCCTGCTCCCTTGGTGCCCAGCCAGCAGGCTCAGTGCAGTGGGGGAGATGAATCACCTCCTGCCCTGCTGGGGGCAGCTCATTGTTTACATGAGAGCCGGGCTCCTGGGAGGATCCTGCCTCCGCACCCTTCCTGTGCCTGTTATCTCTGCCCCACAGCAGCGCTGGGCAGCGCCAGTGACCGCCGGGCTAGTCCTGGGGCCAACGCAGTTCCCAGCCGCCGCCAGCCCTACGGGACACGTCTGCCTTCAGCTCTTCAGCACCTCCGCACTCCAGCGGAAGGGCTTCGTGCGAGGAGGAAGCCGGACTGTGAAGAGCCACGCTGAGGTTTAGAAGGCTCTTCCTAAAATTGCATCTGACACTGTTGTGATGAATCTGCCCCTGCCATCCCCAAAATAAAAAGTCATACTCATCCCCTATACTCTCTCTCTCTCTCTCTCTCTCTCTCTCTCTCTCACTCACACACACACACACACACACACACACACGGCTGGAGGACCCTCTCTCTCCTTTGACGAGACTTTGCCACCCCTGACGAGACTTTGCCACCCCTGAGAGAGGAGCTGCTGTCCCCATAGTCCCAAGAGGATCTCTTACGGAGCTTTCTTGTCCTGCAGCTCCCAACGGGCCCCTCAGCCCAAGGGCAGTGTGGAGGCCGTGTTGGACCGGGAGGAGTCGGGTGGACTGCAACTGCCACGAGCACTGGTGGGCCTCAAGAAATCCCAACGGGACCACCACGGGACCACCACGTGACCCTCCAAGCCCACTTTGGGAATATATCCAAAAGAAAAGCAGGGTCTCAAAGTTATATTTGTTCGTGTTCACAATATGCAAGAGGCAGAAACAAACCAGGCTCCACTGAAGGTTCATGGGTGAACAAAGTGGCGCGTACGCACCCCGGAACCGTGCCGAAAGGGAAGGACGTGGAGGCGGCTGCAGTATCCCTGAGCCCTGAGGACGGTGCTCAGTGCAATGACCAGTCACAAAAAGACAAATACTGGACGGTTCCACCCACAGGAAGTATCTTGACTCAAGGAGTAAAAGTCATGAAAATCAGAAATTGAACAGTAGTTATTCGGGCTGGAGGCGGGACATAGATTGCTGTTTAATGAGTATAAAATTGCTGTTTGCAAGGTGAGAAAGTTCTAGAGACCTGTTGCCCAAAAATGTGAATATACTTAATCCTTTTTAACTTTACATTTAAGAATTACCAAGATAGCCTGGCCGGTGTGGCTCAGTGGTTGAGCGTTGACCCATGCACCAAGAAGTCGCCAGTTCGATTCCCGGTCAGGACACGTGCCCAGATTGTGGGCCTGATCCCCAGGGTGGGACATGCAAGAGGCAGCCAGTCAATGTTCTCTCTCATCAATGTTTCTATTTATCCCTTCCTCTCTCTAAAAATCAATAAAAACGTGTTTTTTTTTTAATTACTAAGATAGCAATTTTTACTACAATTTTTAAAATTTGGGTTGTCGCCCTGGCCGGTTTGGCTCAGCGGTTGGCCCGCAGACCAGAGAGGCCCGGGTTCGGTTCCCGCTAAGGGCATGTCCTGGCCCTGGTTGGGGTCCTGTGGATGGCAACCACTCGATGTGTCTCACATTGATGTCTCTCTCTTTCTCCCTCTCTCCCTCCCACTCTGTCTAAGGATAAATGCAAAAATGTCCTCAGGTTAGGATAAATAAATAAATAAAATTTGGGTTGCTTTGTAATAATAGTAATTCAAATTTTTGTAACAAAAAGAAACATTTCCCCTATAGTGATCAGAAGGATACCTTCTATTAAATGTAGAAACAGGAAATCACAATTCTTCATCATCAAAAGAATAATTGATCCAGGCAAGGATCTATAGTGGATGCTAAAACCCTTCAGTGAATGGTAACAACAGAACTGTGCAGGGTGACAAAGCCTCATGCCCCTCTAGATTACTTTTTTTTTTTATCCTCACTCGAGGACATTTTTCCATATTTTGTTCAGATAGAGTGGGAGGGAGAGAGAAACATCGACGTGAAAGGGACACATCAAGTGGTTGCCACCCACACGACCCGACCAAGGCCGGGGACAAACTGCAACCGAGGTACGTGCCCTTAGCGGGAACTGAACCCAGGTCTCTCTGGACTGCAGGCCGACGTTCTAACCACTGAGCCAAACTGGCCAGGCAGGGCTAGATTACTTCTTAATCACCGAGTTAAAAATGTATTTCTACAGAGACAGATGGCTGTCACTTCCTTAATCATCACTAATATGCAGCCGACATCATGTGCCACCCATTAAAACACAGCACAACCTTTGACCGTCCTTGCCAAAAATGTTTAACCTGAATGTAATCTGACTTTTAGACCTAACTTCCAGTTTACAGGAGGCTAAAAAAACAAATCCAATGACACCATGAGGAAGCAATCAGACAAAGCCAGACAGTGGGACGTTCTTCGGGTCAGCTGGCCTTTAAAAGGTCAATGTAGCCCTGGCTGGTTTGGCTCAGCAGTTAGAGCGTCAGCCCGCGGACCAGAATCTTGCGTTTGATCCCGGCCCTGGTTGGGGTCACGCAGCAGGCAAACAATCCATGTATCTCTCTCACATCGATGTTTCTCTTCTTCCCTCCTTCCCTTCCTCCCACTCTGTCTGAGGATCGATGGAAAGATAACCTCTGGTGCCCTGGCCGGTTTGGCTCAGCGGTTAGAGCGTCGGCCTGCGGTCCAGAGAGACCCGGGTTCGGTTTCTGCTAAGGGCATGTACCTTGGTTGCAGTTTGTCCCCGGCCCTGGTTGGGTCCTGCGGGTGGCAGCTACTCGATGTGTCTCTTTCACATCAATGTTTCTCTCTCTCCTTCCTGCTCTATCTGAACAAAAAATGGAAAAATGTCCTCAGGTGAGGATTTAAAAAAAAAAAAATGTTTTTTTAAAGGTCAGTGTGACCCTTTCCAGTTTGGCTCAGTGGCTAGAGCATCAGCACCAAAGGGTCAAGGGTTCAATTCCCAGTCAAGGGCATGTACCTAGGTTGCAGGTTCAATCTCAGGCCTGGTTGGGAGTGTGGGAGGCAACTGATTGATGTTTCTCTTTCATATGGATGTTTCTCCCTCTCTCCAAAAATCAATAGAAAAATATCCTCAGGTGAGGATTAACAAAACAAAACAAAAAAGGTCAATGTGTGTAAGCGGGGCATGACTTGGACTAGAATTCAAAAGGAAACAGTTATAACAGACAGTTGAGAGACAACCAAGAAATTTTAATAAGGGATGAATCAGATATTAGGACATCCCTAGTCATTGCTTCAGGTGCGATGAAGTTCCTGTGGTTGTGTGGGGGACCAGATGTACGCCTGGGGTGTTGCAAGATTAAATGTCGTGATACCTTCAACAATTTAAATTCAAATAAAAAGCTATGAGTAGCTTTGCGCAGAGGCAATATTGTAGCCAATGAAGTTTATCTGAGGCGTGACTGTTGTTAATTGGGGGTGGGAGAGATAAATGAATACATGACAAATTATAAATAAAGTAAATATGGCAAAAGGTTAATTCTTGGTTGGGTCCAGGTGGTAAAAATACAGGTGATCATTACACACTTCTTTCAAATTTTTTACATGTTTGAAAATATTCAAAATTGCCCTGGCCGATTTGGCTCATTGGTTAGAGCGTCAGCCTGCGGTCCAGAGAGACCCAGGTTCAGTTCCCGCTAAGGGCACGTACCTCGGTCGTGTGGGAGGCAGCCACTCCATGTGTCCCTTTCGCGTTGATGTTTCTCTCTCTCTCTCTTCCTCTCTCTCCCTTCTACTCTATCTGAACAAAAATGGAAAAATGTCCTCAGGTGAGGATAAAAAGAAAATATTCAAAATAAAGTTGGAAAGGGCAGTCATAATTTCAAAGGGAGTCTATTTGCAACCCCCTGGCCATGGGGGAGACCAGGTCTAGAGACAGTTCACTGAGAGCCTCTCCCACAGACAGTGTAGTTGGCACTGGGTCTCGACTGGTCCCCAAACTGTTTTGATCACTTAGCCCCTGTCTATCATTGAACTTGTTTATTTATAGAAACATGTACCATTCTACCAGTGAGCAATGTATGTTGTCAAGCACAAAAATAGTGGACTCTGGCACATCCGTGGAGAACACGCTGCCCACTCTGGAGCTCCCCGAAGCAAGCAGGTGGTGTATTTCATTCTTCCGACTTTCCCCGGCCCCTGACATGGGCGCTCATTAAATGCTTGTAAAATGAACAAGTGATTGAACTAATGAGTGCACCAGCCTGGCCTGCCAGAGCCCCGTAATGAGTGCTGGGGAGTTGGGAGCAGCAATCCAAAGCGCATAGGCGTTCCATCCTGTGCAAGGAGCCTCACCTCCTGGCAGAGCCTACAGGAGGAAGCCCCACACATGCTGACCTCACTCTCGCCCTAAGGCTGCAGAATCTGACAGCGAGGTTTTATTTTTCATAAAATAAAAATGTAGTACAATAATTCGTAACCCTTTGGGGGCCAGTAACCTATCTGGGGATACAATGTAAACTAAGGGCCCTCTTCCCAGCAAATCACACTCCTCTATCACGTACACCTAGAGTTTTGCACATGATCTCAGATGGTTCGTGGACCACTCACCCAGGTTCATACACAGACTCCAGGTAATGAAACACCAGACTCCCAGAAACATGAGGAACCTTGTGGCTTGTCTTCTTAGGCTCCCTGGGATCTGGCACTTCCAGAGTACCTCGGCCACTCTGGGGCTCCTTCCACAGTGCCCCCACATCCAGGAGCCAGCCTCTCCGAGTGCCTGGCCCGTGCAGAGCAGCTCTCAAAGGCAACAGGCTCAGGAAGGCCATCTAGCAATCCCATTGGCCTCAACCACACCTTTACGGAGCACCTGCTATGTGCCAGGCACTGTACTAGGAGCCGGGGGGTTTTTTAAAATGCGCTGTGAACCCATCCTCAGGGTTCACAGTCTGACAGAGAAGAGAGACCTCAAAACAGAACATTTCCAACCAATGTGGTGGCTTGAAGCTGCATGGTTTGGGCAGGGGGCTGCCAGGGATCAGGGTTCGGCGGCATTGTTGACAGGTGGGGCTAGAGAAATGGATCAAGTTGGGGTCCTGGAGCAACTTGAGAGGCTTCAGTTCCAACACGCCTTTATCAGCAGCACTGGCCAGATTGCAGGGAGGACGGCAGGGGTCAGGTTTGGGAACCAGCGTGTCAAGAACAACTACAACCATTCGAGTGCCCTCTCCCTGCGGGTCGGTGCTGGCCTCTCCATGGCCACTATTTACAAGGTAAGGAGGTTTAAGTACCTTGCCTGAGAGCACTTGGGGACTCGTCCTTGCTGTGACTGCCCTCTGGACACACGTGGGGGTTGGGCGGGTGGGGAGGCTGAGGGGCCCTAGTGCCTGCAGACCTGGCTTGGGGCAGTTTCTGGGCCGTCCCT